AGTCTCTCTTGAATCTAAAGTTAGAACCTTTTAGCCAAACGTCAAACAAAATCAGTGATTCAGTTGAGTTAAATTGGAGCATTTGATAGACCCAAGTCCAAGTGAGAAAAACAACATAACTACTCAGCTGTTTTTCAAAGGACTCCTATTGGATACCAAAAGACATTTAAACCGATATGTCTGTTTCCAATAATTATAGCCATATAGCACCAATCATGATTAAAATAATAAAAATCAGATTGCATTTTTAATACAAAATATAGGACAAGGAAAAGAAACTCAGTCTTCTCCGTCCCGCCAAAAACAAACAAAAACAAAACCTGAATTCATGATACATGTATTATAGAGAAACGAACATTAGCAAACAGCAATTATCTCTAAATCACGCAATTGAGTAAGGAGAAAAGATCTACAGATTTTGTAAATCCATTTTTTAGAATTTTTATATGAAAACCTTTAGTTTTTAACATTATTGAAACTTTGCATATAACAGTCTAGCTAATTTTATATATCTCACTGGTCGTTTCCTTATATATAATAATATCAGTGGTATAATGCCAGCCAGCCAGGATGTTTATTTTCTATCACAATCAGTGGTTATTCAACGCATCTAGAGGGGCAGACTTCAAACATTAAAGTGAGCTTCGGAGAAAGGAAACTAAGATACCTAATTAATTTGCCATCGAAATGTTTCGAATCGATGATTTCAGGTATTAGTGTAACAGAGTACAAGCAGGTTTAACTGAATAAAATGTAAAAATTGTACGGTAGTAGGTTTGTTCAGCGAGCAATGGCGCCAACTGATCAAGAGAAAAAGAACTAGTGGGGATTATGAAATACAGTAGTTCATAATCCCCAGTACTTCATGTGAATCCAACTTTGTGTCTCTTACCTCGCACATCTATAACTCTTTGTAACTTCCCACCTCCATTTCCCCCTTCCCTATGGCACTCCCACACAACACCCCTCTACCAATCCCAAGCAAGCACTACCCATGCACTATGCTTGTACGAAGTGCTCGTTTTCTCGATCTACAAACCATAGAATAACAGTAGAATAACTGTCAAATGACCAATGATCTTCGAAGCTATCCGATAATAGAAGCGTCAATCTGAATCCTAATCTAGAGATCGTCTACTACTCTTTTATAACGTACACCTGCGCAGTTGTTCCGGAAACGGAGGCGTCAAGAGGACGGCGGAGGACAGGCGCCTTTACTTTTGCGAAAAAAAAAATTCGTATAAAATCATGATTTCGTAGAATATTTGAAAGAAAGACATGAATAACTGCACATGGAATCTTTTCTTTTGATGTTTTTTTCCCAGTAATAGCTTTACTAGTTGAAATGTTCTGTCACATTGGTACAGTGGCAGACTTTCACTGCCGAAAATCATAGTGCCCCCTCGAATTCTAAGAATCGATTTCCCAGAGAAATGGAAAGATATGATCTTTCCATTTCTCTGCTGAGAAATCGGTATTACGGCTGAAGATCTGAAGATTTGCAACCAGGGGCTTTAATTTTTCCCGCGTACGGCAAATCTATTTGAGGGAGCGACAGATTGTTGAAAAACAAACATGAAGTCAACGCTTATTTCTTTTCGAATCCTTTTTTAGACACATGGTAGATTGACGTAGAGATACAAACGTTTGCACAAGCTTAGTATTCTTTTAAAAGACAAGTTTGCAAAAGTCTGCCGCTCTCTCAAATGTAAACAAAAGATTACAACTTTTTGAAAGACGATCACGAATTCAAAAATTGCTTCAATTCTTATTCCAAGTAAAAGGGTGACATGCCCTTATAACCCAGTCTTTACAAGCACTACAGTTCAGGTAAAATGTACTACTTTATTACAAAAAAAATTATATACTAATTAATTTTGATACGACGCTACACTAAAAAGAGGTTTGTCTGATAGATGAGACTGCCTATTCAAAACAGTATTGAGTTTCTAAATCGCAACTTTTTTCGTTCAGTGGTGCATTTTCAAATCAACTTTTTAAAAAGGAAACTAGGTTCTTATTTAAACTGAATTTCGTTCTGAATTGCCACTATGCAATTTACCAGAGGCTCGACGCTCTGTAGTAGCTGATTTGTATAGGCCCCCATCTTCGTAGAGTGAACGACTTGAAGCTTCCCTTCACTATTTCAAAAAAGTTTCAAATTAGAAAACAAAAACTGTAGACAGGATTGACATTGCTTCCGAAATTGCGCTCATTAATATTGCTTAAAAATTCAGACAAAAATAAAACAAGAAAAAAGGGTGAAAACTTTCGCCAGATTACTGGGAAAGACAGTAACGGCTTAAATATAACAAACTTTATCATGAGTTTCGAGAAGAAAACCACTGAATGGATAAGTACGGGCGAATATTCCCATATTAAAACTCACCTTTAAGCAGAGAAGTTTACTTCGGTAGATCCAGGACAAAATTAACCGCTCATCAATTCCGCACGCAATTTTTTATGAACGACCTATTGAGCCAATTAAAAAAAAGCTCGATGAAAATGATTAAAATGTACGATTGGTGTTATATATCCTGTCATAGTCTTAATTGTGTTTGTCTCTCTCCCGGCACGTAAACGGGCCATACTTCCGAGAAATTTCAATTGCTTCCGCCGACACACAAACAGATTAAGTGCGATTTTTCGCAATTGCAATCGCTCTTTAGAGTACGTGTAGTAGCGGCATATAGTCGTCGAACTACAGTTGGCTAAGTCACGCCAAAAGAGATTTCAGTAAAAACTTATAAAACTCAATTAAATCCGCACTAAAATAAAAAAAAAGACTTGGAGATTAGGATCAGCAACAACAAAAGTATTATTTATATCGGAGATTGTTCATATTGAATCTAAAGGCGCCTTCAAATACCCCGATTCGGTCAGTTACCGACGAAGCTTTAAGGGTTTACCTCGATGCGGGAGGTGAAAGAAGTATTACAACTTCCATAATAACCGTTTACTCCTCTCGTCGAAAGGAAATTAAGTGGCGAGTTCAGTGGTTCAGGAACGGAAGTTTTTATTGTCAATATTAAACTCAATCGTAAACGGCTTGATTTTTCAGTTGAATGAAATATTAATAATGGCGAAATATTCATTTTCTTGGCCTTAAATAGTATTCGTTCTGTAGAAGATGTTTGACCGGTTGATGGTTGATGTCGAAAGAGGACAGACGGACCGCAAACCATTTACATCATGTTCTTAAAGGTAGTACCTCCTGTAATTTCCTTGTACCTTAAAACATTCTCTTAGTTCTTTTTCTAATCCTTAAAATTTCTTTTTTTTCGTACACTTAACACCACATAATCATAGTAATTACGCAATTTAATAAAGCTAATTTACGTCAGTGCCACGTTTATCGCTATTGCCGGGGCATCTACCCACGCAAAATGTACTCAGATGTAGAAATGAGTTCGCTCTATTCACGTGCTTCTTTCAAATACAATTATTACCAAGCGAGCAATAAATGGATTTTGATACCAAGCCAGATTTCAGGTTTTAGGTTGTTGATATACGGAGAACATCTTCTACAAACGGACCCTCTCTTTTTGCTAGGGCTACTGAAAAGGGTAGCTTCGAACTGTTCTCAATGGTGGCTTAAAGAACTAGGCAAAGTTTCCGGCAAAGATAACAGGGAGCTTATTATTGATAGTAACTGAAAAGACGACGGGCAACCTGAACGGTAAAAAAAGCAATACGTTTAGGCTACGTTCAGAAGGCAAAGGACAAATTTCCGCGCGCTGAAAATTATTCAACCTTTAATATTTTTGCTCTGTTGACAAGGAACTGGCGAACCAGGTCGAATTTAACATTTGTCATAGGTTTTACCATCAGCCCATGCGCAGAGCGCTACCTTAGCAAATCCAATATGGGGTCCCCAACCGAGTTACCACTCATTTATGCAGCCATAACTTAGACGTTTAAGGTGTTCAACAGTGCCGCCGGAAAGTTTTCGACCGTACAGGCTAAAACATTTGAACTCAGTTTTGGCGTTCACATGGCAATGGTCTAAATTTTCTTACGGTTAAGGTGGTTCCGTGTGAACGTCACCCCTAAACTTGCAAATTTTCAGCTTTTCAGCCGGTCGAAAATTCGTCTGGTGCCGTTTGCAAGTAACCATATAATAAAACAAATCTTTGCAAGCGCAGCACCCATTTTTGTACGTTTCCGTTTGCTGTCCATAGACGAAAACGATTTGAAATGCCTACACAAGACAACCATTTTCTTTTACTTGGATACGTTCCCTTACAATTCAACTTCAGAAAAATTCACTAACATTTTAAAAAATTTAACGGACGTGGAATATAAGAGCGATGAGTTTTAAAACAGCGCGAATTCACTTTAAAAGAGCCTTCGTTGACGTGACGACGACGCTTGCGTGCAGACCTAAAAAAACGACATGACAAATGTCAGAGAGGAAAATTGACCACCGGAAGTGGCATTTGGTCCTTTCCGCGCGCTTTCGCGTTCTCATTTGACGATGCTCTGTCCTTACTAAATCTACCTAATACTTCAAGGGTTCAGTGGGAAAGGGAAACAGAACACTCCTTCTCCCTCCTTTCACTGCGCTGAAATTACCAAGGTAAAGAACAGTTATTACAGAGTGCAGGGCTAATATTTGAAGCAATTTGTAATGAATATTTCGGTCTTGGCTTGTTCCGCTTGGTAGTGGATTTGAAGAGCAAGATATCTGATAGAAATAATATGGCTTTTTATTTTTGCCTCAGGGATTTTCTTTCTGCAATATTTATGTATCACTCAGTAGTGACTAATAGTTATTCCAGCTCAAAACCAATATTACAACAGGAATCTTAATCAAGAGTTTATTGACATTTTGTTTGACGGTAAGTTTCCACATCTAGATACCCTATTTCTTATGGGGTTTCAAAACCAGACATTTCATATATTCAAACAGAACACAACATGGCTCTTTCCTTTGTTTCACTGAAAACTATTCTAAAAATTTTACAACTACCTTTTTTCAGAAGGCAAAAGTAATCTTCTGTTGACTTTGTGCAAGAAAGGCAATGCACCCTAACAGAAGAGCTAGATAAAGTGTTTTGTGTTGTTGCAGAAAACATCCTAGCAGCCGTGAAAAACGGAAGGTTGATGGCTGTGATGGTTCTCACGCTTCGGTATCTGGTCACCTCGCCACCAACGAAATCGCCACCAACAATAGAACTAAGCTTAGCATTGTTTTGAAACTTCATGAACGAAAATTTCTTAACCGTTACTTTATTTTCATATTCCAAGGAAATGACTAGTGGTTGTGACACGTTTCTGCCAGCTTTTTACTATCTCAAATTCCAAAGTTAACATTTGCAGAACCTATACATGTATTGATTTGCTAAAGACTTTCGACGCAAAGATCGTCAATAAGGATCGACAGATTTGTATTTGAGTCGCCTTTAAATTCGAATAAGCTTGACGAAAAAGTAAAAGATCTTAGATAAGTAATCCTGGGTATTTAACTGTGTCAATTATTTCAGAGATATTCGTTAGTAGCGAGTCGACTTCTTGGTGGCGAGATGACCGTAAACCGACGCTTCACCCCTGTGGCAAACATGCCGTCGGTTTTGCCTCAGTTTTTCGTACGACAAGATTACCTTCAGACACAGTGGACACATGCATCCTTCTCTACTGAAGAATGTTGATTGTCAAGGGGGTGAGGTGAAGCCACACATTTTTAGTTCTTACCCTTTTGGAAAACTAGTTTGCACAGAGACAGGCATGAATTATAATATATTAAGCCTTGCCATCTTTGTTACTTGTAATCAGTAAATTTCCTCAAGACAGTTCTGTCCTGAAGTTAAATTTTTTTTTAACAGCTCCTTGGAAAGGTGGAGAAAATGTCTTCAAGCCCTTTGCTAGACCTAGTATAGACAAGTTTAGCAGTATTCATATTTTAATAGACAGAGATTTCTCCACCAATATTATTAACTATTCAGTGACAAAAATAAATCAGTCAAGCTTGTTGGATACCCCTCATGCTTTCAAGTACATTTTATGCGGTTTTAATGCTACTCTATACTTTTTCACACCGTGAAAAACAGAAAAGTCATATCCTTTGAAGTAGAACTTCCAAAATAGCCCATATAAATGTAGAAAAGACCCCCCTTCCCCATTCCCCTTCCACCTCAACCTTCTCTGGTCAGTAAGATAAAAACAATCCCCTGATTATCATAAATAATTAATATACAGGTTACTTCATTAAATTAACTTCAAGCAAACATGTAATCCAGCTACTTATTTTGCTCCATTCTGATCTGAGGTTGACTCACTGACTTTTTCATCCTTCCTTGGGATGAACTTTAGTGAGTCTGAGAATATTCAGAAACGTGAGGAAATACCATCTGGACCATCCCTTAAGAACTCGTGTCCCAAACCATTGCCACATTTTCCACACCGGACCTAGATGCAAACAAAGGCAAAAAGATATTGAAAGGTTTCTGGTCAAAGAGTAAACAAGCCAGAGAGTACGTATCAGGATGAAATGATACACAGTACATTGCTGTAAAATTCCGTTTCTTGCCATTCTAAAATATAAAACAATCTTGAAAATCGTGAAAATCATGAAATGAAAGATACGGTCATTATCCTGGGTTTTTTGGTAGAGCTGCAGAAAGTATTGAGTATTGAGTGAGGACTAAGGCAAGTTTCAAAAGAGCATGTACAACTGAAAGGTGGAAGATTAGGGTAATAAAGGGTAATTAGAGTAATAAATAAATAAATAAAAATACTGTATCAATTGCGATATCCCCAATTAGAACCCAATGTACTACAGACAGAGCTTTAATGCCATTTGTAGATCTGCAGTACAAAACCAGCAAATTGCCGTAAAAATTGATCATCAAATCAGGTGAGCTAACTGTTGAAAAATCCAGCTAGCCATTAGGGCGGGTCTTCAACTCAAGGCCACTGGATTGCAAGTCAGGCACTCTAACTGCTCAGCAACCCTGACTTCTCCCATTATAAAGAAACAAACAATGACAACGACAAAAAATGTTGGACTGTGTTTGGTTATGTTTAGCTGGTTCAGTGTCTACAATAAAGATTCCACCAAAATTAATCATTGATTGACTGCTAAAGTCAATAGGGAGCTTAAGCAACTATGACGACGACCACAACGCCAACTTCATAAAAACAATATGTTTAATGATCAAAACAACAGCTCTGCACTTCCATCACGCTTTTTAGTACATTTCTTTGATGTCCATTGCACAACTACAACGTAAAACCTCCCAATTTGCGACAAATTTTCCTTCCTCTTTTTGAACCTGAATAAAATCCTTAAGAATTCAAATCCATGAAAAGTCGCCTGCTTTTGACATATTGAGCGGGTCCAAATAGACGAGATTAAGTTTAAAAGAGCACAAATTCATTTTTTACCAACGTTTTCACTGCCGTGGTCGTCATCCTTGCTTAAGGTCCCTAATTATGGTGTGTGTCGGAGCTTTTCAGTAGTTTTTATAACAAGCAGGTACACTGTATCATACTTTCAAATTATCAATGTACCTTCAAAGCTTTGGCTTTGCTGCTCTGTTGAGGCTCAGTTTCATTTTCTTTAGACACACTGTCATCATGGACTGTCTCTGTAAATGCAGGCCATGGTGTGTTATGCTTGTACTTTGCTTTAGCACTAAACAACTCGTGACCACACTTGGGACAGACATAAATTCCTGCAAAAATTAAAAGGCATGTACAAAGGTTACAACCAGTGCTCCTGGTTATGGGGGGAGGGGGGGCGGGGGGTAAACATAACACCATTTTTCTCATTCAAGACTGTCATTTAGTAAGACCATTTTTATGACTGAGTCAATTTCAAGTCACTAGCAAACAAGTAAGGGACATATTGTACATGTAATATATGCCTACAGAAGGATAGACTTTGGGGAGATGTGCTAAACATTACCGAATTGGAGGTATTAAAAACACAGCATTAACATTTCTCATTGCTGCAAAAAGTGGCTTAAGTTATCACAAAAATGTGCCAGTCTACCAAGAAAAGCTCCTTAGGAGCATCTAATCACACTGCTAAATGATGACATTCTCACTTCTTTCAAACACTGACTTGCCAAACATAACTATCACAAGCCAGATCGAAAATGCTTAAAGCCTTAAATCTCCCAGGTTTTTGGGAAATAAACTATTAATACCCACTACAAGTTGTAAACATCTTCCCAACTTTCTTTGTGATGTCAGGCTTTTTAAATTCTCAAACATGGGTGTCCTGTGATAAAAAATTTTGATCACAGGGCACCCATGTCATTATGACTCAGCACAACAGAGTGAGTGAGAAAAATCACTCTTTCTCGTAAAACGGACGATTACTCTTAACTTCTCTTTGGCTTATTTAGAGATTAAACTATGTGATATGAGATGTACTGTACACAAGATAAACGCAAATCGGGCTTTAAGAATAAGACACAAATCTAATGACATATCAATCGCGTAAAAACAAGCGGCGCTCGTTGTAAAGAGAAGTCTGCAAAATACCATGTGATCCCCACTTTCGACACATCGCGTTAGGAAAGGCTCTGCAGTCTATATCAGCCCTAATAAATATTAATTTAGTTTACCGGCTAGGAATCTTGAGCTCAGAAGAGAGAGAGAATTTTAGCTTATAAATTAAAAGCTGGTAAAATGTGAGGACCGTAGATATAAAACAGCACTCACTGTCAATTCTGATTATATAATAGCTTCTAGCAATGGCTTACGGTTTACCTGCTTCAAAATGATCTCTGTACTTTTCGCTGTTCCATGAGCAAAACGACATAATTGCTCAATAAATAAAATTAATATACTCTCTGGCTCGAAGCAACAGTGCCCAAGTCGTGCCTGAGAGGGCCTGAGGCAGACAATTTGAAACTTGCGCCCGCGATAAAATACGAGAGAGAAACGGGAAATAACGTCATATAACAAGTGGCCTGAAAAAGTGGCCTGCGATCATGCCCTCTGGTTTTCAGCAGCAAGAGGGCTTTCAGTTTGACATGGAGTAAACTTATTTTACTCATAAAATATGTTTGTTGACTTTTTATGTAAGATTTAGCCAGGGCAAAAGCGAAGCTCTCCTTGTTATTTGTTAGCTTTGATGATAGGGCTTCAAGTAAAATGTAAGTGTTCTTGGAACCCACTTCGTGTGTGAAGGGGTAAAATGTAACCACTTCAACTTAACCTGGTGACCATGGAAACGTTCGTGGTTCAAAGAAGTCCAAGTTCGCCCTAAAGTATGGTCTAGACCACACTTCAGAACAAACTTGACAAACAAGAAATGGAAGCCAGCGGTTCCAAGATTCTGATGAACGGAGAGATTGACAGCTTTTACTTCAAGTAATGTACTTTGTCAACAAGTGTCAAGCCATGTTTTCTACAGAGCGACTTAAGATTTCCAAGTGCACTTGAATCAAGTTCTTACTTGAAACTAACTTCGCTTCTAGAGTGAAGCCAACAATTGTGTAATGCTAAATGGCGCGGCAACGAGAACGGCAAAAAAACAAATAAACAAACAATAGCTGGTCTAATTGGCAAAAAAAACAACTTTGGCGGGCAGCACACTTTTTGGTAAGTCTTTGGTACATTTCTTTGCCGTTGTCGACAGGTGATATCTGTTTGCGGTCTTTTACTGAAAAATTTGGCACGCCACGAGTAGTGTTTTGGCTAACTGAGTGCCAAAAAGCCGTAATATTGAGGTAACAAATGTCTTGTCTTATAAAGTCAATACTACATTATACACATGCATACATGTACTTTGCCAGCTTCCTTCGTGAACATTATTATTGACCCTTTTTTTGTTATCTTAGTTGACAATATTTCCGTTTTCTTCCACTTTCAAGCGGGTTAGGCCTCCAGGTATTGCCGTCTTAACACCTAAGCGGATTATCAGTGAGAGGTTCAGAGTACATTTTCTTGCGCTGTTCGTTCTGATTGGTGGACCAAGCAAGAGGACAAATACATTTTGCCAAAGGATTTCGATATTGTGGTAAGCCGGAAGTTATGATGTGGAATGGGGGTCTTCAAAGGATTTCTTTACTTCCCTCCCGTTGCTTTTTCATGGCACGACTCATCGATCCTCCTCACTACTGCCGTAAAATTCATTACAGCGTTCTTCACTGAACTGAGTTTACGACCCAAGATAGATGCATCGACACACATACGGAAGGCCTAAGGACGTACCACTATGCTCCCCTCTCCTTCCTAGTAACTACATCGTTTTCGTTCTCAGTATGATATCTTTCCTTTATGACGATACCTAGCCTCCTCTAAGTGCCTGGTGCCTACCAGCACCCAGTATTAAGGATAATAAATCCTTATAATCAGTATTAAATGTAACCATTATGCATGTTATTCAGCCAGTTGACTACGTATTACAGTCAACGGCAAAAGTGATTAAGTTTATAACGTCCACCATAGAATAAGCCGATAATTGTCTCAGTTTATATCCTGGTGTAGCTCGTTTACTGTTTCGTTCACAGACAGGAAAAATATTCCTCTGCGTAGTGACCGTATACTCAGTCTGGGCATAGTAGCTATCAAGGCTATAGTTTTTTTTAAATTTCGCTTCGGCTGACGTAATTTTTTTCAGGCAAGAAAATGATGCAGTACTACAAATAACAGATAAAATTTAGAATGTGTGAATATCGACAGATGATGTCATAAGCTCAGTAAAGATCGGAACTTAAGAGAGAACAGTGCGGCAAATAAACTACACTATTTGAAGGTCTGTATACTTGAACTATGAACTTGAACTTGCCCAGACTGAACAGCTTTTGAGTGACTATTGCCTTGACCAAATTGAAATTAAAAAGAACTGGTCAGCTTACCAGGACCATATTCAAGTGCTTCACTTGGTAAACCCATTTCAGGTGAGCTTAAGGCTTGGTCCTTAGGGGAAAAAGTTTTATCGCAAAACTGGATGTTCTCAGTTGCTCCGTCTTGTAAATCATATTAATAATAATTGGAAAGGTCAATAGCCTTTTCAGGTCTATGATACAAATTAATAATTTGCCTCCTCCTTTTAAAATCCGTTCAAGCCAGAACTGTTAAGCCTGATTAATTTTTCAGAGTTACATAACAGACCATAACACACAGTCAACTTATATGTACACACCACAACTTGTGATTTCGTAGTCGAAATTCTTGATTCAGATAACCCCTGACTTCTGTGACATTACGAACGATTTTTGATAACGTAAACAACTCTACATAACTTGTCCAGTCATATCAAAAAACACACCCCAACCGCAAATTTCATTCATTGAAATATTTTGATTACCTGCGTAGGTGTATTTCAATCCCAAGTATTGCTGCTTTGCGGTATACCCAGTGCTACATTTTGCTTATTGCATCAATTTACTGAAACAAATTGTTGCGTTTTGTGATTAACGTAGCTTTGTAAAGATAAGATTCGATTCGTGATCGCATTAAGAACAGTCTATAGAACTGTGCTTCAATTGGCTCATGCTACGTCACGCATATCTTGACCTAGAAGTGACCGGCCGGATAGTAGATAAGTACCTTATTCAGCTTAATTCGCATATTCAAAACGGTCTGGCAGACCTGGGAGTTCATAAAACCCTCAGGTCACTGGCAGAAGGAGATATTCAAACCTGGCCGTCTCAATATTAATAATGGTAAGCAGTGAATCATAGTTTTAGTCTTCGGGTTCAGTTTTGTCCACGAGTTCAAAAAGATCATTTAAAGTTTCCTTGTAATCGAAACAATTTGTATTTAACCACCGACTGTGTTTTGGCTCTTTGAATTATTGTACTAGGATAAATCGACGTATCCATCAGTTTACGAGCGACCATCGATCAAAAGCCCTATAGTGAAAAGAAGTCGGAAAAACGGAACAACATCGAGTGTGAAAAACGTTCAAATAGCTGTGCTTGGGAAAGACGGCGTTGGAAAATCAGGTCAGTAGAGCTATATATATGATCCACTTCACAGAGTTTGCAAGTCAGTGATGTGCATACAAATAGGTTGGTTTTTGATCATCCCTAACCTTAATCAAGATGAGTACTACTTTATTTTCCCTTAACCAAAAGAGCCCTGTCAAATTCACGAGAGCTGCGTACATTGGTCTAGAATAATCAAAACGGAAAGGGAAAATCTTGAAGCATAAGTGTCTTCAAACCGCGATTACTGTTCGTGACTCAACACTGAGAAAGAACCGAAGCAGAACTGTTTATATTAATCAAATCACCCGAGTTCAAGAAAGATTGGGCCGGCTGACCCAATGGCGGAGAATTCATGGGTCTTGCATGATATAAAATGACTAAAATATGTTTGATGACGTGACTGACATAAAACAAAATATTTTCTTGACGGGAAAAGCCGTGAAAGAATTTTGCAACTGTTTTTACAAACAGTGGGCGAATTATGACCCGGTGCGAAGGCCTTTAACGTAAAGACTTCATGGCGAGACAATTTCCGAAATGCGATTGAAGGGCCGATTATTGAATCTTTTGAAAACGAAAGCTGTCTCAATTCATTTTACAATAAGATCCATTTTGCGCCATCATTGACACAGTTTGTTTTTAGAGGCACAATTGTTTATTTGCTATATAAATAATAAAAAATTACTTTAGTCGTTTCGAAGTCATTTTGTCACAGACGATTTCTAATAACGCATTTTCTCTTTATTTCCAACACTTTCCAAGTACTGATAATTTTTTTTCCGTATGTTACGATTGGATTATTTCAGGATTACTCGTTTACCACGACCTCGGATTAACGGTTAATAAAAAAGTTCATTAAGTTGTTTAAGACTTGTTTACCAGTGTTCTTTACAAGGCAAACAGAGTTCACATATGTCAATGTCAAATTATCGCTTCATTACGCCCTCTATTCCAAACAGTCGGCAATATTAAACTCAGTGCAACACTGATTTCCTACAAATGCTGTTCACAGACTTTTATTAAATGGTTTATTATCCAAGAATAAATTTATCAACGCTCAAAAAAATTCTTTGGCAACCTGAACAGCGATCCGTTGGCTGTTCAGCCTTGTAAGGGCGTGTTTACAAAGCGTTGAAAGAACCCCACAGGCGCTTAGAAGACCTCACATTAGTAGGAACTTGTTAAAGTGGCGTACTAGGAATGGACAATTTCCCATTCAAATCAACCTTTAAAATCAAAATTAAGATATTCGATGTTTTGAATCTTTTGATACTGCTTCCTTTGCTTGTTTTGAAATTCAAGTTAACCTTGGCACACTTCATCACTTATGCCGACCACAATACTCAATTTGTCGCATTGTATAAACCACACAATGTATTTATTTTCAGCCACTGACCCATATGTAGCCGATAAGCAAACGCGCCCACCCGCCTTCTCTGACAATTATTGAAGTCACGAAAGACATTACTTATCTGCAAAAGATACTTTTCAGCCACCTAGGACTCTTGTTCTGATCAAAGGCACGCATAGGCCCTAACACACCGAAAAAATAAAATAAAACCTGCAAGATCGATTCTAAATGAAAAAGAAAGCGAAAGAAGTCTTTATCCCGAGAGCCTGCAGCTTGTTTTGATTAGTTCGATTCCCAGTTCCGCTCAACACTTAAAAGTTTATTCATCACTATTCATCACCACCAATGATCACGAGAGTGTAAAATTATACTAAGTAATTTTAGTAGAATCACGCAAAGACGGCAGGCAGATACACGCCAACTGAAATAGTTCATCTTCCAGCTGTTTTACTGTAAACAGCGCTGTTATCTAAAAGAGTTTATCTCAAACTTTGACGCAATTATGTTCTTGAATCAAAAACCAATTTCTCCTCATGTGATTGCGCGGGTCACAGCTATCTCGAAATCTCGTTTAAACTGCTTTTCTTTTCACTATAGAGTTTCAATATACCGGTAATCTACGTAGCATTTTCCTACCCTCCACATTAATATTAGAGCACTCTGGCATGGCTTAGATGATACCACATTAATTTTTTGTGGGATCATTTGGGGTGGCTTTAAAGCTTAACCTAGCATCAGTACTGTACTGATGAGGTACAGAAGGCCGAAACAGTACTGTCTGCAGTTAAGAACTGCCAAACAATCACCTTTGTTAGATCTTATAGGGGCCGTACATATCGTATTTGCTGCGTCGATTCTCGGATGTCCAATGTGACTTCATACATTACATGACAGTCAAATTACCAGGCCGCGTAGCGGCCACAATTCCCAACAAAATTTATATATACAGTCAAAGTTAAGGTAGAGGTACTTTGCAGTTGAACCGAATTTAGGCAAAATCACTTCGTATTAAAAAGTTGATTGCACGTTTTAAGGTGGGTAATAGATGTCTCTAAATTATTTTGTTCATCCCCCTTTTTAGCATTCACCGTCAGAGCTTTAACTAGGCGATTTATAGGAGAGTACGACAAAACGTTAGGTAAGTTGGTTATTTTGACTGGCAGGGCAGTAAACTGATATGTTACTTGCTGTAAAGTTAATTCTAATCCAAATGGCCCTCCCTTGCAGAGTTATCAACTAATCATGATCAGTCCTTGTGGTGATGGCAGCGTTAAGATAAACAGAGCTTAGATAAACACTTATTATCGCGGAAATATGTCGCTGGATTACACGCAAATCCTCATAGCCAGATTAATGTGGTTTGTAAAGGTTTTTTTAACTGTCTAAACATAATATTTTCAGTTCAACAACGACTAAGTCAACTGCGAGGCAAAAAGAAAACATATCATCATTCATTCCTTGATCCTAGTTCGATAAATCTTTGCTGCAATACCCTTTTGTTAGAATGTAAAGTATTTTTATAAACTTTTCTTTTGTATAGCGGCAGGCTTAAGGTGATTGTTCAATCTATTAACAGAGGGTTACCTTACTGTCTTTGTTACTGCCATGAGTAAGAGTTGATTTCCTCGCTTATGATCTTGGGGAACCAATTTCAAGAGTGGCAAACACATACCCAAAGGTGATCTCACAAGCCACAGCGCCCATTAGGCCTCTATATATAGAACCTGTAAGTCGGGATAACTTGTTCGTCGTTGAACAAGGGCGTAAGAGGGGGAATTAAAAGCTGGGCCGTAAAGTACGAAACTGTGAAAAGGTATTAGTTATAACGCCTGCATCTTCTAATATAGGTCTGTAAAAAATTTGATACTTAGTAGTGTAATTCTGCTGATCTATCTGATCATTTTCCCATATGAACCTTATGATCGCTATCACAACCACTCTCATCCACTTCCCGTCATTCATTCCTTAGCCGGGGTGCATGAAACTGTGACGAAGTGACAGAGGTTTTGTCGATGTAAAACGTGTCGAATCTAACTAAACCACCTTTTAGCTTCTTGGCTTGTATTCACGTAGCTCCCACTAATCTCTCAAAGCAGAAAGGGCATTAAAAATTAATTATATCGCATAGCTTGCCTCCAAATAATTTAAAAGGTCACTTTTGAGCTCAGACCAAATCGTCTTACGCCAGCAGTCGGAAATGAAAGACCAAATACTATATCCTAGACCTTGTTTTGGCTAGTTCTCCCCACCCCCACCCTATTCCGAGGGGAGTTCTCATCATTTTGCTTGTTGTTCGGGAGGAGAGTTGTAAGTAACGCTTTCGGTATCACTAAGTGGGTGGACTTTAAATTACATGGACCAGTTGGTTGGATAATAAAGAATACATTTTGATAAATGGACGACAAGTCAATTTTTCAGACGTTTTGACGGGCGTTGCCGTTCTTACTGATCGCAAGGTCCCAGTTGGTTAAAACACGTCAAGTACACCATTTACCATTATATATAAAGCCCCGAACCAATTCCTTTATCATTAAAAAGGTGACCTATTGTGAATGAGGTAAAGTCAAAACATTTGCCACCTTGCTACAAACTTTTGACATATTCCCGTAAGTTTATCTATGCTTTGTCCTACAGAATGCACATATCGTCATCATGTCGAGCTGGATGGACAGTTTCTCTCGCTGGATGTGTTGGACACAGCAGGCAAGGTCAGTATTCCACCTAACAGGAATGTGATCTAATAAGCTGTAAAAAAAAAGAAGTACAAAGCAAGCTGGGGATGATAGTAAACCTGAAATTATTTATCCAAAAACAAAATATTTAGACTGGTTAGGCAAGCTGCTTTTTTGTAAAGACGCATAAAACTGCTAGCATGTTACCTCAAATTCTGTTATACAAAAACATCTGGCGCCAAACCATCGATTTTCATGACTTTAAGAAGCTAAGACGTGGATAATAGTTTTACAATGTAGTTAGCACTCGTGCAAAAACAACAACAACAACCAATTAAATTAAGGAATGATGTTTCGTGCGCACAAGGAGAACGCAAAATGATTTTTTTTCCTCACGTATTTAGGGAATAAAAGGGAAAATTAAGAATATTCAGTGTATAGCCTTTCTTACGATATCGATAAATTTTTCCTCGGGGCTGCAGTCAAAGGAAATATTTACCAAGTAAAAAGGTATTGGTTGTTTAAAAAAATCTACTCATCTGATATCAGAGAAAGTGTGTGGAGATAATATGACGAATATGCAAGCTGGCATACGGGCTAGAACATTGCATTACCATCAAACTTTGTGACTTTTTTATGAAACTATTGTTTGGGGGATGATATTTTTCGATCCCGCGGTCAGGGAAGAAGTCAGGGAGACTCTCAGTTCTAGGCCAGGGGTTAAATTCGTGAGGGACCAAATCTTGCAAAAAACCTTTTGATTACGTGAAAAAATGTTGAGAAAATTACAGGAACTGAGAATTAAAAAAAGCAGAAAACATGTCTAATACCAGGTTAGGTAATAGCTAGGAACTTGTTTCGTTCCGGCACTGATTAGCTGAGCCCAAATTGACCACTACGATGTGGACTATATGTCGAAGCAATAACGTGCATTTTTATTTCTTCGCAGAACTCTTTGGAAAAGATTGACAACTGCGTTCACTCGGGATCAGACTTGTTCTTCGTCCTCTACTCCACAACAGATCGCTCATCTTTTGAAGAAGCTTCACTTCTCTGCCAATACCTTCTAAAAACAAAGAACGTTAATCCGGCTTGTCTCATTCTTCTGGGAAACAAGACTGACCTGAAGCACTTCCGAGAAGTTCATGAGTATGAGGGTCGCCTTTTAGCACAAGCCCTGGAATGCGGCTTCTACCAGCTCTCTGCATCAGAAGGATTCGATGATTCTCAAAATGTTCTTTACAACACTCTTAGACAGTTTGTGAACGCACAGAAAAAAGGATCTCCTTCAGTTAGGGTGTTTATTGACAATGTGCTCAGCCGAAAGAAGTCAGTTTCATAGTAAATACAAAAAGTTAACAGATTGACAATCAGGAGCCTTTAATGTGTTCAAAGATACTGAACGTCATTTTTCGAGCCAATTCCATGCACTCAAATCGCGCTTGACGCTGGAGAAGTCTTTACCTCCAACAATTGGTTGATGGACATATAGCGCCCAGTAGTGTGGAGTTTTGGAGCCATTCAGCTGTAACAAATGATTATGGGGACTCAACTTTACCGTCAGGACGCGAACATGGGTGTCGAATTCTTGCTGATTCTTGGCTGATTCCTGGAATCGAGTAAGTGGATGGAATGCCTGACTGAGTCATTTCTGAAAATGGCAGCGTCGGAAATAATCTACCTTTAGATCAAAAACGGGGAAAAGTAATATAAGTGGGAAAGATGCGCGCTTTGTTGACAGATTGCATGAGATTTGGGGTGTTTTCCCACGACGACTTAGGTTGCTGTTAATAGGAACTTTAACTACATCCAAGCCCTTCTCCAACATTATTTTTCCTACAAATTACAGTGCAACTGTCAATATCAAGCCACTGAATAGACTTGATCCAGCTCATCTTAGTCGCGACGCTGTCGCAAACGTTCTATCTCTTAATCTTTATGAACTACAAAAATAAAAAAATTCAAAAACGATCAACCTTCCATAGTCAACAGAAAGTTTCATAGATTGAGACCCCAAAGGGGGGTTGAACACGTACCTAAAGCATACCGGCAGCCTGAATCCGGTGCTCACTTTTATTTCCTCATTTGAGTTATAGAGCATGTTCATTCGTTTAATTTGATTTTTAAGGCCATGTTAGAAGCTTGCTGTCTAAAACAGAGTAGTTAGCTGTTAGTAATGATACATTGAGTGTTAAAAATAGATCAAGTATTCAACTGGTGGCGTCACCGAAATGATATGGGATTGATCGGTAATAGACGCAGTTTGCTTGAGATGTACAGTTTATTTGGAAATGACTTAGCTTGAGAAAACATAACATTTCGGGACTCCACCACTAGTCTCCCCGCGAAATGATGTTTGAAGAACGACCGCAAAATTTCCACACTGATTACGGGGCACCACCCAGATCTGGCTAGCGTTTCTGATTACTGGAAAGTTTGCTTCATATAATAAGAAGCTTTTTTAGTAAATACCCAGATCTGGTGGGTTATTTGTGAAGTATCATCGATGGATCAAATTTCTGTGGTCGTTTCTCAAACGTCATTTCGCGGGGATACTAGTGCTTGCGTCACGAAATGTCGGCTGTTTTCTCAAGCTAGAAATGAGCCTGCAGCCCTAATAAAAGGAATAAAAAAGACGCGAAAAGCGCGAACAATAAAACCTATCAATCAAATTTCATTTTTCACTGACCATTTTACATCGCAAAGATTGTGTGAATACTGCAAAATAAGTCGCCCTAAAGTGTAAGGCTGAAGAAAAGAAAAAAACACTTTTATTATTTAAATACTGTACACAGTCGATGTGAAATAAATTGACACATTGTTGATTATTTGTCAGCCAATTGTTCGTTTCCCATCAAGTTTGTAAAATAAAAGCAAGCAAGCAAAGCAAGTGTGTAAAATAAATGACCGACCGCGGCATGATTAACTCAGTCAGTAGAGCGCTTCAAGAGCGAGAGGTCTCAAAACAAATGAGAAATGAAGGTACTACCTTTGCCTACAACCTCGTCCCCAGGGCGTTTCCCTCATTTTTTGAGAGAAAAGCCCTGGGGACGAGGTTGCTTTGCCCAGCAATTAGTACTTTCGTGCTAAATACATTGACACTCAAATAAAGCGCTTTTTTAAAGCTCCTACAATAAGCACCCTGGGAACTAAGAGAAAGGGCAATACTGAATACAAACAGTAGCATGAAGTAAAGATTCTGGAGCGCGTACTCATTGAACAAAATTGAGTTGATCATTCAAAAAAGGGTAGAAGAAAAATTGAAAACGGGGCAGTCGACTTAGGACTTACGATCGCTTGCATCACTTCCCGAACTCTTCAAACGGCCGCACTAGAATCCACTAGGACTATGTGTTACAAAGGGGGAAGGGGTGGGGTTTGGAGGTGCCCACCCTCTTAATCATCGCAATCTGTACTCTTCCCAATCTTCCTTTCCTTTCGAGTCACAGATGGCGACTTCACACTGGAAATTTTGATGACTATGCATGAATCGGCCAGGCTACCGTCGAATCTCGGCAAATTGCGGCTTTTGGATTTGGACATGAGCAGAAAACAAGGCGTTTTAAATGTCCGACTTTTAGTTTTACTTCTTTTCTTCCGGTGAAAATTTGTTATAAATGGTGGCAACCAAACTAAGGGAAAGTGAAGTTTCAAACAACGCACCTAGGCTCGTTCAAGTTCAGCCAGAGGGGAAAAATAACGACAGATAAGTCCGGTTAAACAAGAACAGTCGCGCATTCAGTTGTGGGGCCTAACAAAATGTTTTATTTAGTAATGCCTGTAGTTATGTAATTTCATGCCAAAGACAACATTTTCCCGACGAATCAAAACACTCTTATGCCGCCGTGGCTGCCAAATGATTTTCACTTCCGCAATTTCTTTTATCAGGAACCGTGCACACAGGTCTGGCAGGAAAACTCTCTGTTTACTAATTGAATGTATCGTTACTTAATTTTTACTCCAAAGCTCAGCATTAGTTTGGAAAAACTTCCGGAATTCTGTTGTAAGTTATAAAACAGGTACACACACGCACTACTCAATAGAAAGCTACCGATCTGAGCTATGGCCGGCGGGCAAGATCCTTTTGGGTTGAACAAGGGTTCCGCCATTCCTCGGAGCCTATTTATTGCTTTGCTGTATTTCCTGTGTCGTAAGTAAGTTACTTTTTGTGTTAATGGTACTTCAGCAGGATGCTACCTTGGAATTTAACCACATCTTTCCCGACTAAGCCATGCATCCTTTGTAAACACTTTTTGGTTCTTGGGCCTTCAATTTAAGTGACCCAGCGGGGTATTAGGATCTCACTGTAAATACGTGATTGTAGGCGGATTATCTGAATCAGTTGACATGGTGCCTATATAAGAAGGGACGGTGAGCCCCTAATATTTAAAATTAAGTCGCAGTCCGTGGACAAGATGCCGAGCTGGATGGTGAAAAATACGAAGGAAAGAGGACAAAGTTTGGTAAGTTTCTCCTCCTTCAATTTCGCCGGAAAGACGATCCCACTTCTTGTCAGAACAAAAACTTGCATGTAATTGTCTTCGAAATGAAATAGGTCAGACGTACCCGCTATGGCTACCAAAAGAGTATGATAATGATAAGTGCAAAGCCGATAATGATCAGGAAAGGGCAAAGGAAAGAGTGACGAGTTGAAATAACAACGACAAGAAATGAGTAGGAAAAACTTTCAGTGAGCTTTGATCCGGGGATTTCTTGCTTTAAGAAATCATGCAATGTGCATGTATAGATAAATGAAAACCTTACGATTAATCAGTACCCTCGGATAAGAAAAAATATATATTTTTCTTCCAAATATGTAGTTTATAAGCCACAGCCTTCCCAGGGTCTAACACCCACGAATAAAAGTCTAAAAAATAATTTGTCTGGGAACATTTTTTTGTCTGACAATAATTTCAGAGTTGCCTAAAAGTAGGGAGTGTTTTATTAGTCTAGACAAAGCAGACAAAATACTTCTATGGTATAAACAGCGCTTCCAGCCTGAATTGCCACAAAAAAGTTTTGAAAAAAAAATCCCCAAGTTTATTATAGTAGCACGCGGAACCTAACTGCAGAAGAGATTCATTTCTGAATAGCCAGTTAAAAAAATCAGTTAATAAAATCTCATACACAGATTAAAATTTTTTTTTTGCAGTCTTCCCTTAATTGATTTATTCGTGTTATCTTGGAAATATAAATTAAGCCAGAAAACTTCAATTCACTGCCGAGCGATAGTCGAGTTTTCTTGGAACCAAACAGAAAAGGCCGTTTATATATAAGGCAGATAAAAGGATAGCCAACTTAATTGGTTTAATTAAACAAGGCCTTGCAATCGCTTAACTACAACAAAACACAACTCAAAAGACGAAAAGTCGGGGCACCACAACATTTAAGCCAATTAGTGTTACCTTGGTTAAAAATATACTGAAAACAAACAAATTAAAGCAAGAAATAGCGGAATGTCTCACTTATGAGTCAAGCATGTTGCCCATTATATTTGTCACGCCTTCAATCACATGACAACCTTAATTGGCGTTCAAATTTTTGAACGACTGTGGGTCCTAGTACACCTAAAAAAATATAAGATAATCGATTTCTTCTTCACAAACCACGAGAAGCATATCAAGATGAACAGATTAAGTTATGTGGGTTTATCAAGACACTTGGAAAGGATTTGCAGGTCCTTAAAAAGAATTGAACCACTGTAGTCATGTAGTATCTAAGGACAAAGCTACCAACCTACTGAGGGCTGTTTACAAGGGACGTAAGCATGCTCTGAATGTGGTTTCACAATAAATGTGTTGTGTATATCTAATAAAGATGCATTTATGTGTTAGATTTACGGATGCGTAAAACCCCAAAAGGAAACCGCGCCGCAAAATTAAAATAACACCGGTTCTTAAGTCAAGGGTCCTTTGTTCCGCTGTTATACATACCCCATGTTAGAAAAATTGTTAGCGTGACTTTAGTACTATTCAGGCGATAATTACTGAAGTGTTAAAGCCATTGTCGTGTAAATACGACGAGTATGAACAAAAAGGTTTCCGGTTTGATTCTATTTTAGCAATCAAAAGCAATATATTTTGCCCCCCTCAGTGTGGTGGTTAAGTGATGCAGATTTGATCGAGTGAGATTACCCAATTCAATGCACTTGTCATATACAATGAAAACAAAAAAACGATAATGTTGCAACAATCGTGGAAGAAACCAATCGTCTTAATTTTCTTATGTCATCGCATTTACACGTTAAATGAATATTATACCACTTATTTCGTGTGTTCTTCTGTTTAGAACCTCTTAGCTTTACCCGAAGGGCACCGTTTCAACCAATGTCCGAACGAATGA